TGTAGCACATATAATCACCGTGGATCTTTAGAACCTTGGGGGATAAATGGGGATAAAATAGCCACTAAGGGCTCTCTCATAAAATAATTGCCCCTTTTCTAGTTAGTTTAAGAGGAGAGAGATAATGTGCGCTACATGCTAGCAATTTGCTTTTTGAAAATGTTGTATGACATTAAATTTAACAGAAAAAAAACTTTTTATTTGTTCTTTTTTAGATACAACGTCCATTCTGAGTTCATTGTCAAGCTCAGGTGGTTCAGAGGAAGGAGGAGAAGCTGTTTTCAGTGAATTAGAGTATGTGGAGTTCGAGGACAATGTTAGGGATGATGCTATTGCTCATATGGTGGAAGAATTGTCATAAGATAGAGATCAAGATGCAAAGAAGCTTATTTTCAGCCTCAAGGAGATATTTGGTTTCAGCCATATCCCACTAAAGAAGCAATCTTGAATTCTGAATAAAGAAGAACAGTATTTTTATGTACTACAAGGAATGCTTCAGTGAGGGATGCAAGTCATCCAGCTTCCCAACTTCAACAATTTCAAGCAATACATTATTATAACCTTGCACTAATTAACAAAGACAAAGAGGTTTAGCCTTGCCTCTTGAGGTTTTTTTAATTATTCCACATATAGTTGGGTTAATAAATAGTGATTAAAAGTCTCTTGTTGCAAATTTTGCAACTTTTTAGTATTTAACTTACCATTAAAAGAAGATTAACCATTCTTCTTGCTTTGTTACTTACTCTTCAATTGTGAATTCCTCGTTCTTGAGTTGTTTCAGCTTCGAGGCCGCCATGTCCATGGCTTCTGGGTGAACCTTGTTGTTGCCCTTGTGCGCCTTTTTTGATCAAAAGAGAGACCACAAACCCATAGCTTGCCCTTTGCAAAATAATTCTTACTAAATCTATTTCACATGAATGTCTTTGTTTAATTTAGTCCCATAGTCTCTCTCAAAAACAATTACAGAATTTTAGGGTGATACCAGGCCGGTTGGCTTTAGTAAAGGATTCCTTCGATTTGGAGCAACCACAATGCCACCAGAAGGCATGGGCTGAAAAACAGTGATGAAAGGGCTGAAGCTGGAAGTCAGTAAAACTTCTTCAAGTGTGTTGGCTCCACTCACGCACGTCTGCATATCAACAGAGTCTTTGAAGTAGTTAAAGGTGACTTGAGGATTATCATCAGCATTCAGAGTTAAAAGTCGGATCTCTCCACTTGAACGAGGCTTAGCGACCTTCTGCGTGACCACAACGATTGGACTCTTCTGCGGACTGCTTAACCCTTCGAAGTATGTTCCAGATGGATCGATCCCCACACTTTGAATGAGGGAAACTTCAACTGGGGATGGTGAGCCAATGTAGACTCTGGTGGATGGATTGTCAACTATGTGTTTTCCAACATTGGGGGAATCTGCAACCACTTTGATTTTCTTAGCTTGAAGGTGGTCTCTGGGGCCAATTCCACTAAGCATGAGCAGCTGAGGAGTGCCTATTGCACCTGCTGTGAGTATCACTTCACTTTTGGATGAATTCTGGAGAAGAACAGTATACGTTTTCCCAGATAAACGGCCTGTGACTTGAACACCTACAGCTCTTGGAGTACCAGAACCTATTTAAGAGAAACGAAAACACGTCAAACTTATAAAAACTGAATAATTCTCAAAGCTCAGACACCTCAGACTTGCAGGAATCAACTCACAGGCTCCATCCCGGAAGATGTTTGCATGCTAATTATCTAGACTTAAGTAGAAACCAGCTCCATGGACTCCTTCCATCCGGCCTCGAGAATTTGAGAGTGCTTGGCCTCGGATCCAGCTATGGAGCCAGATACCAGCTGAGCTTAGACAACTTTCTAGCCTACACCAGCACAAGTTTGCTAGACGGAAGAAAACAAAGAAATGAGATTATAGCTGTGGTAAGTCAATAATGTTTATGCATTTTGTTTGTTGGTGAATGTCTACCATTGAATTCATGAGGTAAATGCTCTCTATCATTCTCCTTAAAGCTTATCCTCCAAATAGCTTTCTGTCATGCAGGAAAATGTCAAGTCAGTTTGTTCATGTTAGCATACATGTTTTTGCCACTGTGAAGGCCATTAGAACTTGTTCTAATTTAGATTTTTCATTATAACACAGTTAATCAGGTGAGTAAGTTTTTCAATATAGTCCTTCATTGTTTTGTTGAAAATATCAAAGTTCCATATGATCATTCTTCAAGATAATGGAATTGTGTATTCATTGTGAAGTAGGTTGCTTGCAAGCAAGTATGAGCAAGGTTGTCTGTTGCCATTTCTTGTCTGATGCTCCATGTTATGATGAGGGGCAATAAAAGCAACCTCAAACTCATCTATGATAGACATTAATAGTTTTTTATTCGCAATGCATATAAGACTCTTTAAGCCAATTCCACTATCAAAGACTTACATTATGTAAAACCATTGGAATAATCATTAAAATCTTTGCATCTAAGGTTCTTTTAGCAACCAAGAAATTCTTCACAATAATAATTAAATTAGACACTTGTCCACGCTACCATCACCCAAAAATGTAGTGTTTTGAGTTGATTTATCAAAGAAGTTTACTTGGAGCATATATCATAGCCATTATACCATCCATCTCTT